CCCTCAGATTCCAGATTTTCAAATAGTTGTATCTCGGCCAAATATTGTCCTATCCTAACAACCATACATCAATGGAAAGCTTATTTATTCAGCTTTCAGATGATGTATAAATCTCAATTTCTAAAAATTGACCCTTATGACTGGTTTTGTGGTCCTGGGTCATTATATATATTTTTATAATAATATAATTAAACATTAAAAAATTATATATAAAAAATATTATTACTATTTGAAATAACCATTTTGTTTCATTCAGCATCATTACTCCAGTCTTCAGTGTCATTGCTCCAGTCCAGTTTACTGTAGTTCACAGTTGTGCTCAAGGTTTCTTTGATGAATTGAAAGTTCAAACGAACAGCATTTATTTGAAATATAAGTCTTCTTTAACTGTTTAAATGTCTTTACTGTCACTTTTGATCAATTTAATGTGTCCTTGCTGAATAATTAATTTCTATTTATTTCTAAGCTATAAAGAATCACCCACTCATGCTAGTAATGGTAATGGCATAAAATGTCTGCTTTTGTTGTGTTTATGAATGTAAATCGCAGGTTGACGGTGCATGCTGAGTGTCCGATGCATCTTGAAGATTTCCCCATGGACTTCCACTCCTGTCCTCTCAAATTCGGCAGCTGTGAGTAACAGCATGGAGTGTCTTGCTTGTAATGATTGATTTAAACTTTCAAACAATCATCTGCAAAGTTTTAATTGTGGCCCCCACTGAAATCATTCCTACAGATGCTTACACAACAACGGAAGTGACATACACCTGGACAAAGAACGCATCCAATTCTGTTGTGGTAGAAGAGGAAAGCTCTAGATTAAACCAGTATGACCTGCTGGGACAAACCGTGGGCAACGAAACCATCAGATCCAGCACTGGTGAGTCAAGATACTTACAGATTAATGGATATGGTTTCATTATATAAAAAAAAACAAGTAAAAGATTCTTCAAGGATGCTTCCAAAGTCAATCACATGTATTTGAAACAACATGACAGTAAGTAAATGATGAAAGAAGTTACATTTTTGGTTAAGTTTGTCCTCAAACAAAAGCTCTGAAAGCCGCAGAGACTGAACAGACACGTTGGATAAATATACAAGGATGATTTTCAAGGATTTTCTGATGTCACGGCAGATTTGTCCTTCTTTCTATCATAGTTTATGAAGCACACATTCGTTCTGTTCTGCTAAATCTGCTGTGTGCTTTAACACGATCTCTGGGCAAGACTCAACAAACCCTGCCTGTCACTTCCTGTGGTTCGCTCTCGCTGTCTTTCTCTCTCTCTCATGCATATCTTTGGTTTGCAGTGACATTTCTTGCATGTTGGCATTTGGTAGCTCAGTAAAGCGAACATATCCTCAACGTGGGGTGAGATCAAGGCCAGAGCACATACAAGATATTCCACTTCAGTTGAGCACAGGGACTGTACAACAACAACACCCAAAAGACGCACCTCATGTCATGTTTACAACATTACCTTAACAAATGGATAGCATATTCACAGTTTATAAGAAATTAAAGACATTCTGGATTTTATTCTTGCTCAACAGTAATGATAAACACATATGCGATTATTAAAATATGGATACTGATAACTAGAGAACAGAGTAACTGATGGCAGATGTATAACTAATATACACTACTCTTCAAAAGTTACATTTTTTAATGCTTTTGGGATAAGTCCCTTATGCTCACCAAGGCTGCATTTATTTGATGCACAGTAAAACAGTACAAACAATGTAAAATAACTGTTTTCTATTTTAATATATTTCAAAATGTAATTTATTGCAGTGAAGGCAAAGCTGAATTTTCTCCTTCAGAAATCATTCTAATATGCTGATTTGGTGCTCAAAAACATTTCTTATGCGTAGTTATCAATGTTGAAAACAGTTGTGTTGGATGGATGGATGGATGGATGGATGGATGAATAGCGATAAACTGATTGATTGATTGATTGATTGATTGATTGATTGACTTAAATGTTTTGAATCAAATACATTCTCGGCATTGCCACCAGGGGCGCTATAGCAGATTTTAACTTAAAGGTGACATATCATGAAAATTTGACTTTTTAGTGTTTCGTTGAACACTATTTAGAGTCCCAGCCTCAGTGGAGACAAGAGAGCATTGGATTTATTGATTTATTTACTGTATATTATGCTGCTGCCACACAGATCTAATATAAACATGCAATTTCTTTCCCAGCTGTTTACCTTCACAGACATAACCAACTGTTTTTGCAACTCGTGTTTTTAACATAAAATTTTGTGTATTTGACAGTTTAAGTGTAATAGCAAATGAAAGAACTTAGTTTAGTACTCACATGTCGTGACAACCGCTTTCTATGCACGTGCTTCGGATGTGTGTGCTCAGAAAACTGTATATAGTACCAGAAGTTTAAACTAATATGGTTTAAAATGCATGATTTCAGTGCGATAGACATGATAATCAAAACCAAACAGATGTTTTTAGCAGAGTATCTGAGGAATGAGCTGTAAAGGCACAGCTCTATTCTGGAAAAGGGGGCGGGGAGCTGCAGCTCATTTGCATTTAAAGAGACATGCACAGAAAACAGCCTGTTTCTTCTTCCACTCAAAATAGGCATTTACAAAATGATATAATAAATTATGATCTGTCGGGTATTTTGAGCTGAAACTTCACAGACACATTCTGGGGACACCTGAGACTTATATATTGTAAAAAGGGGCAAAACAGGTCCCCTTTAAACTATCTTTTCTGCCGGTTTTTAGTTTAAGGTCAACTACTGTCACTGAAAAGCAACAGTTTTAAGAGAATCTTGCTGAACAAGCTGCTTTTGTAATGAATTGTATAGTGAAAGTGGATGCACATGTAAACCTGAATTGATTCAAATCAGATCAGCAATTTTTTTCTGATGTTGTGAGGACATGAAGGTAAATGAGAGGAGTCTTAATTCTATTCATTAAGCTCAAATATACTTGATAACTGTTTCCATTTCATTAAGACAGTATTCCCCTGGCGAGCAATGGCTTTGCTTGTTGTGTCCTGCGGGATTGGTGTCTTCTGCTCAGACCCATTTGTTAAGCTCCGTTTACATCACCCATAGCAAGCGGATGTACTCAAACTGGTACCGGCAACACGGTCACACAAATGTGTGCATTAAAACACACATGCATGAGCCTTTGGGGCTTTTCTCCCGAGGCTCTTGTAACTCCCCATCATGTGATGTGAGATTAATCATTCATTACAACAGCGTGAACATGCCGTCTAGTGTGAAGGAAATTGGGTCATCTGCCACACTTGAGTGTGCACTACATTTTGCACACTTGAGTGTTCTTAATATCTGAAGGATTTTTTAATACCTTTCTTCCTTGCGGCCACAGGCTGGGAAACCACTTAGAGTAAAACCACTCAGTTTGTGTGTGTGTATGTGTGTGTGTGTGTGTGTGTGTGTGTTTGTGTGTGTTCACATTGATTAATGATGCAATGAAGGGGTGTGTTTACAAAAACCAAGTGCATTCGAAAGGCGCAATGTCAGGTGGGCACTTAAACATGATGTCAGGGTGCGTGACGCCCATGTGTTATTCAGGCTTGTCTTGGCTTTAAGATAACAACGAATACACATTAGTATATCAATGAGTGAATCTATTTCATAGGTCATATTTCACCCCAAAAATCAGGAAAGCAAATATTTGAAATAATATTTTGCTTAAAGAACATGAAGCCTATTTTTAGGACCATTAAGATTTTATGACATTATTTTCGTGAAAATCAAGCAGTGTTACATTAATGAGAATCTAATGAGATGTTCCATTGAGAATAATGAGAATTACAAAAAAAAACACTGTCAGTAAAATGTTCAGATGTATTACAGTAATGAGAATAATGAGGGGGAAATGTGCTTAATTATCATGAAAATAATGTCACAATGCAGCAGATCTTAAAGGAATAGTTCACCCAAAAAAATTAAAACCCTGATGTCCTTCCAAACTGTAGGACTTTCGGAACATGAAAGAAGATATTTTGAAAAAATGTATTATGTTATGTTATATGTTATGTTATGTTATGTTATGTTATGTTATGTTATGTTATGTTATGTTATTCATATGTTATGTGTTATGTGTGCCCTAGACCTTTTCACGATATTCACTTGCACAAAGCAATTATTAAAGGTCTAGTTCACCCAAAAATGATAAATCTGTTATTATTCACTCACCCTAATGTATTTTGAAACCTTAATGGTAAAATGTAATTGAATGTACAAAATGACAAGAAAACACCACAGACATTTGGAACAACATGAGGGTGAGTTTATGACACATTCTTTTGTTTATGTTTTAGTTAACTACTACTTTAATCACAAAATTGCCCCTCTCTCAGTTTTGTTCATCTCTTTTCTGTCCATCATGATGTTCACACGCTGAGATCTGTGTGTTTTTGTGAGATCATTACTGGTGAACATGCTTGATGGTGATGGTTTCATCAAAGTGTCTGGGTTTCCCTTGCGTAAAGATGGAAAACGAGAGACAGAGAGAGAGAAGGGGAAAGATCAAATGATGTTGGCATACTGTCAGTGACATTGTGCTTAGAAGATGAGACATCTGGATTCCAGGCAGCATCACCATGATGATCAGCATCACGGTTGCGGTGGGAGAGAGTGACACACGCACGCTAGCGGTAATTAGTGGTGTAGATCTGTCATCATTTGCAATGCTTTTGTGTTTGTATGTGTAGGATCAGACTTCTGACTCTCAGCATAAAGTATTGTCTACATAGCAGCTTATTATGGCCCAAAAAACACCCACTTAGATATGAAGAGATTGTCTGATAAGCATGTAAAAGTGATCAGCCACAGTTCATTTTCTTTTCGTGATGGAAATAGAATCTGAAATAGTTGATACCACAATAATTAGCTTTTTTCACACTGCAAACATTTTCTTATTTAGTATTTTTTGTCTTACAAATATCTAAACATTCTTAAATCAAGATACATTTACTTGATAAGCAAGTATAAATTTTGTTTTGATTTCTAAAAAAAATCTAAATTAAGTGAGTTTATGCTTGAAACAAATGATAAGGTTCCGTTTCTTAATATCAGTTAACTGCATTATTTAATATTAACTAACAATGAAGAATACTTCTTTATTAATCTTGCTTAATGTTAATTTTAGCATTTACTAATATATTATTAAGATTATTTAAATGCAGTAGTCTTATTATGTAAGATGTTAAAAATTGTATGTTAAAAATTGATTGTATATGTTTTATCAAGTCATTTATTTATTTATTTATTCATGCATACTAATACATGTTGTGCCTTTTAATATTATTTAATGGATCTGAGCTAACAAGAACTAACAATGATTAGTTGTACTTTTATTAACTGATATTAACATAGATTAATAAATATTGTAACAAATGTATTGCTCATTCTTAGTTAATGTGAATTTACTAACTTTAATGAGACCTTATTTTAAAGTGTTAACAAAGCATAGCTGTCAATGTGGTAAGAAAATTAAACTTAATTCCAACAAGATTATGTTTCTTACCTCACTGACAGATATTTTGCATATTTTAAGCATAAACAGACTTAATTTTAAAACATTTTTCAGAAAACAAGACTTGATTTTGTGTAATTGTCTCTTGATTTAAGAATTTATAGATAGAAAACAAGATAAAAATATTAAATATTGAGTAAGAAAAAAAAATTCAGTATAATTAATTGAATGCTGTTGAGAACATTGTGTTTGAAGACAGTTTTCAACAGATGTTTTATTGCTGCGTCACTCACATTTTCAAACAGACTCCATATAGTCGTGTCTCAGAGGGCCGTTTCTTTGTCTTCATTAAATGATGTGTAAAAAAAAACTATTGTCTTTCTCCTGTTATTACTGTGTTGGTCTTCAGGTCAGGGTGAGGTCGGGCTTCTTAATGAGAATCTTTGTGTCAAGCGTAGTGTTTGCTGTAATATATTAGCTCCGTTCCAAACCCTAGGGAGCTGTCTATCTAGGCAACATTTTTAGGCATTATGCACGCTCCCAATTCTTTCCACTTTCCACTTTCAAAGATCCACTATCATGGATATTAAAGGTTCTTCATGGAACCATCAATGCCATTAAAGGAACTGTTATTTTTAAGTAAGCATTAATGGACTTACTGTATATGTAAAGCATTTTATTTCATCCACTCATGGGGTTTGATTTAGATTATGATGCCGTCTTGTAAAGCATCTGCTTATGTAAACAGTAGACAGCAGAGCAGCTCACTGGGGTTTGGAACGGAGTCAGTGTGTGTTCTGGAATCATGGCATCTCCTGTGACCTCATGTGACTGATCGTCATCTTCACGCTTTAATTAGCATCTTCACGGTGCACAGACTGCGGCTCGGACACACACTAACACAGTTTAGTTACAAAACCTAATGAGCTTCCTCAATATGCTGCCTACAAAGGCAAAATCCTATTATTAATTTTTTTGAATTGGCTTTTATTTTAATATTTTCAGTTTTGTTTGTTTCATTTTATTTTCATTTATTTAGTTTAATTAGTCAGTTGTATTACTGTTTTTTTTCTATTTAGGTGTAATTTATTTTTATTTCAGTTTAGTTTTAGTTTTAATTTCCATTTAGTCATTTTAGTTCTTCGACTTATTTCAGTTAATTGCCAAGGCGACATTTATTTTATTTTATTTTATTTTAGCATTAGCTTTAATTTTTATATTTAGTCATTTTACTAGTTTATTATATTTTATTTTTTTAGTTATGTAATTATATTTCTTTTACTTTTAGTTCAGTTTTATTTTTATTTATCAGTCAGTAATTTTAGTGCTTCAACTTAAACTTATTTTAGTTGCCAAGGCAACATTTGTGATCTTCGTTTTGATTTCACTTTAGTGTTTATAGTTTTTTTTTTTTTTTTGTCATTTCATCTGCTTTTATTATTATACATTTTTGTAATTTAGTAATATATATATACATATATATAAATACTATATATATAATATATAGGTTTAATTTATTTTTATTTTATTTTTATTTTGTGGTTATATATTTTTTTTTTCCAAATAGCAATTTTAGTGCTTCAACATATTTTAGTTGCTGCCAAGGCAATTTTTCTAATTAATTAAGTTTTAAATATAATATTATATCTAATATGTTAATATTTATAATCAGTTTTCATTTTAATTTTAGTTAATTTCTTTAGCAATTTTGTGACTGCTTTCGTCATTTCTGTTTTTTATGTTTTAAACATTACTATTTAGATTTCATTTATTTTTATTTAACTTTCAGCTTTGGTTCAGTTTTAGTTTAGTTTCCAGTGCTTCAGCTTAAACTTATTTCCGTTAACTGCCAAAGCAACATTTTTCACTTTAGTTTACTTTAGTTTTTCTTCTAATATTTATATTTTACTTTACCTGAGCTTTATTTGAACAATTTTCACGCATGCTTTTAATTGTTTTAGTTAACAATAATAACTCCAGGTTACATATGATGCTGCCAGAACTTGGCCACAATGAGGGATCCAAGAAGTTTTCTGCCTACCATTTGGATCAGTCTTCATGTCAAGAGTGAGCGTATGATGCTTTAAAATCCTGCCAAAGTAGGCAGCACACTATAGGTTTTGAAAGAGATCTATTTCTTTCTCCACAGTCTCTAAAAAAACGCATCTTTTTACTCAGTAGAGACACATTCTCACACACGTACAGGCCTGAACTTTCACCTTCTTTTCTGTGTCTCTCTCTATGCACATTTACATTTCATCATGCCGTTTCTCTAGTGGACTGCTGTTAATTTAATTAAATCAGACGTGGCTCAGCCTCATCTGTGCTTATTTTCCCCACCGCGGCTCCGTGCTGAGCTAACCGGTGCTTGTGAAAGGAGGAAACAAACTCCGAGAGGGTGCTGTGTGCAATTGAACAAGAAAAGAAAGAGTGGAAGAGTGGGTTTTACAGGATTAGAGCTGGCTAAAAATCCGTCTGTGCTTCCTCTGCAGAAAGGACGAGGAGATCCCCCCTTTTGCCAAATGGCACCAGCGTGGCGTCCTCCACCAAGATCCAAAGGCGATCCAAATTTCTCTCTTCTGTTGCCATAGGCAACCAATGTCTTCCTCCATCTTTCGGTTATGCTTTCCCCTCTCTCTCTGTTTTGTGGGCCGCTTGCCGATAGAGATTCTCTTTTTCCAGGCGGCTTGCCACGTTTCTGTGTTTCTTCGAGCGGTTGGGATAATGCTCTGTGATAATGAGGTTAAAAACCTCATGATGATGTCGAGGAGATTTTCTCTCTTTATGCCATTTTGCTTGGTAACAAACTGACCTGATCTTTTCATCCAGAGCTTCGTGAGATGAGGTGTAATTGCGGCATCCCTCAAAGAGCTCCCGGCTTATAATTACATTTATCTTTCCCTCCCCTGCTTTGTGACATCAGCTCTTTCAGAATATCCTCGGTATATCCTCGGTCGCAATATGCATTTCATAATCCTGCTCTTTGATGTTATATTTACAGAGTGCCTCTTCTTCACCTGGTCCCATTTTGCACACTCTTTACTTATGATTTCCCATCAGGATCCAAAATTAGATTTTTGTCAGCACTTTCTGATGGCGGGTGAATTGGGGAAATTCATGAGCCATAAATATTTCTTACTGATCATGAAACTGTATTTTGCATTATTCCATTAATATTATATAGTATGTTGACCCGACAAAGGAATTATTTAGCTGTTTTTCCATTGTGTATTTGCAGGAAATTAAACACATTTTGCAGTCAATGTATCACAATTCATCAAGACTTTGATCCTCATATTTTTTTTAGAATTCTTCACCATTCTTGATGTAGCTACTAAAGTGTATATCAGGGTTCCTCAATAGGCGGCCCGCGAGAGAAAAAAGTTTGGCCCGTGCTAATTTCAAATAATGTAGCTTGAAAATTCAAACGCAGCATTAGAAAGCTATTATTGATACTTACAAATCTAATAATTGAATCTGCAATTAGGGAAAGTAGAGAGAAGAGATCCAGTCTGGGAATGAGCAGGAACAGTTGATTTGCATGGCAGACATGGAGATAAGTGCATTACCGCCACCTATCTCTCAAATGGACCATTGACATTCCTATGGTCTCCAGTTCGGACATTGCGGTGAATCAGAGGTAAAAAACTATTTAAATACTGTTCAGTTTCTTACACAGACCGATCGTTTCGTGTCTTTACACATCAATGTATCGTCACGAGCCGCAGGGTTTAATTTGGTTTTAGCCATGATTCCCATTCACTTCTATTATATGCCTGACAGACTGCAACGGTTTGAGTTAAAAATCTTCGTTTGTGTTCTACTGAAGAAACAAAGTCAACTACATCTTGAATGCCCTGGGGGTAAGCAGATAAACATCAACTTTTCATTTTTGGGTGAACTATCCCTTTAAATCACAGTCAATTATTTTGCAAAATGCAAAAGTAAAATTAAAACAATTTATAGGAATAGTTCGAATTAACTCAGTTTAAAAATAAAATTTGCTGTTTGCTGAGAAGATTGTTTCTTCATCAGAACAGATTTGGAGAAATTGAGCATTACATCAATGGATCCTCTGCAGTGAATGGGTGCTGTCAGAATGAGAGTCCAAACAGTTGATAAAAACATCACAATAATCCACAAGTAATCCACACCACTCCAGCCCATCAATTTATGTCTTGAGAAGTGAAAAGCTGTTTGTAAAAAAACAAAAACAACTTAAAATGTTTTTTTACTTAAAAAGTAACTTAAGTCCTCTATCAATAACATTGCTTCCTCCAGTGAAAAAGTTAATCTCTTGTTGTCCTCTTTGTCCTCTCTCCACTGAAATATTTGTTTAGAACTTTTTTGGACTGCTTTCATTTGTAAATAGTATGATCAGTATGATCTTCTCTCCTGATACAGCCAGAAACAATTATATAAAGTTAAAGACTTGATGTATTTGTTTCTTACAAACATGCAGCTTTTTGCTTCAGAAGATGATAATTGATGGATTGGAGTCGTGTTGATTACCTGTGGATTATTGTAATGTTTTTATCAGCTGTTTTGACTCTCATTCTGACGGCACCCATTCACTGCAATAGATCCACTGGTGAGTAAGTGATGTAATGCTACATTTCTCCAAATCTGTTCATGAAGAAACAAACTCATCTCATTTTGGATGATCTGAGGAGAAAATGTTCATTTTGGGTTGAATTATTCCTTTAAAATATAATCTATTTTTATAGAAATATGTCTAAGTTCCTAGACAAACATCTGATGGATGAATTTTCCACTGAGGTAAAAGTTGTCAGAAGTCATGTGACAGTCACTAAGCTTTATAAGAAAACCACTTGTATGTATGACTTGAATTGCTCACATACTTACACATTATTGTTGGATTTGTCGATTAATATTCCGATTTAAACCATGTATTATGTTGCGAACCCAAAAGTTACCTGCTAGTTGGTTTTATTTACTTAAAGCCAATTTTTTTTTTGTCTTATTTTGGACTGTTTCCCATAACTCTCTTTTGCCTTCATAGGTGAGTACACTGTGATGACGGCCCACTTCCACCTGAAGAGGAAGATCGGTTATTTTGTGATTCAGACGTACCTGCCATGCATCATGACCGTCATCCTGTCCCAGGTGTCCTTCTGGCTGAACCGAGAGTCTGTTCCAGCCCGGACTGTTTTTGGTGAGTTGAATCTCTGAGTAAATCTCGAACTTAATCATACATGTCAGATTGATCTGAGGTTTCGAAATATTTCATACTTTGGACGCTACTTCAAAGAAGTGAAATAAAAGCCTATTTTTAAGTGTATTGTTGCTTGAAATTCAAATGTTAGGTGTTTTAATATCATAAATGGACTGTAATAACCAGAAACCATCATCTTTTGAGTGTGTTTATCATGTTACATGTTGAGGTTTGAATATATTGGTTGATTACAATGAAAACTTTCCACAGAGTCACTGTTGCCAAACTGATTTTGTGACTTCTGCAGGATTTTATGACGCACTATTGGCCTCCAGCCGAACTGATGCAGAAAATCTGCATAAATTAATTTACTGTGACAGATTAATGGAGGACTAAGGTCACACTGAGCTGAATAAAGACGTGAAGGTTTGATCATAGATTAAGATTGGCATGGCTGAGATTGAGTCTAGATTTACAATTCTAACAATAGATATATGTGCTGTATGTAGTGTGTGTCTATATATAATTTATGTCAATGAAGAAATTAACTGAGAAAAATTTATGGTATAGAAAAATCCCAGTTACCATGGTTACCCATTCATTTCTAAGGGGGAAACTGAAGAGATGTTTTGGCTATCTGTAGAAATTAAAACATGCAGAAAAATATCATTTTACTTTCCTGGAATAAAATAATAATAAACAAAGATTTTTGTGAATCCCAGACTTTGATACCGTTTACAGGTTAAATAAGTAAAAAGTGTGGGGGGAAACACATTTTTGGTTCCCTGGAGGACCTTTCAGTAAAATGTTTTTAAAAGAACAATTTTTCTTACTGTGAAGAACTTTAAAAAATCTGAAGAACCTGTCACCACTATAAAGACTTTTTATGGAATGGAAAAGTTCCATGAATGTTAAATGTTCTTCGTGAAACCATAGATGCCAATAAAGAACCTTTATTTTTAAGAGTGTAGGACCTTTCCATTACACAAAAGGCTGTTTATAGCGGAAAAAGGTTCTTTGGGTAATCAAAATGTTTTTTAAAATAAAAATGTCTTTTAAAAGGGTCATGAACTGCCTTTGTTTTTTTTATTTTGTACTGTTCTCTGATCTGAAACGTCATTAAAAATAAAGTTCATCAAATAATGTTTATCGTTTGGTTTCTGCGTAGACCTGCATTTGCCTCTCTCATTATTTGCACTACGTATGCAAATTGGTTGGTGGGGCTAAACAGGCAGTGATGTAGAAGCAGGTGTTGATCTTCTTCTGCGGAGGTGGAGTTTATCCACACCATTACATCATAGAGTAGAACAGGGGTGGCGAACTCTGGTCCTGGAGAGCCCCAGTCCTGCAGAGTTCAGCTCCAACCCTAATAAAAACTCACCTGCCTGTAGCTTCCTAGTAACCCTTCAGACCTTGATTAGCTTGTTCAGGTGTGTTTGATTAGGGTTGAAGGAAAACTCTGCAGGGCTGCGGCTCTCCAGGACCGACGTTTGCCACCCCTGGTATAGAGCGTTGCAGTGATGATGTATTTTTGTAGGCCAACCTACAAAGTTAGCATCATCCAGGTTCTCTCGACCAAAAACAATAGGATTTTTCCATTGGCTTTAGGATTATTGCAGAAAATAAGCTCTGTGACCAACAAAGGTTTATGATTCTTGCACGTTTTGTTCATCATGTTGATGAACACAACTTTGATCAACTTTGAAGCCTAAATACAATTGCCAGAAGAAAACAAATCTAAACCACAGTCACCAACATTTTCAATGAAGTTTGCGTTAGAAGAGTTTGCAAGAGCACGATTATAAACACAACAAGGATGTGAAAGTGGACTAGTGAGTGGATGATTGTATCTGGTGGACGTGTTGATGTTTAATGTAGTCCCTGTAGTCCCATTAAGCCACTTGTTAGCAGCCACCTTTTTCAAGAGAAGTAAAAGCTTTAAAAAATCACAAGGGGGTCTTACTGATGTATTTTATTGAATAAAACATGAAATATCTTGAGCTTGAGGTCACCACAGACCTTATGTCAGGAATTTAACCAAAAACCCCACTGACTTTAAGATTATGGAACTGGAAGTGCTAAGTTCCCCTTCAGGAACTCGAGCTGCGTCGAAGTCGCTTTGGGAACACCCTTGCGTGATCTGTTCTGAAGCACGTGTCAAATCAGTCCAATGGAGTAGCGAGACGTCACGAGCAGGGTGACGTAAGCACCAGAAAGTATAAAAGCGCATCCGGCAGAGCGCAAACCAGCTTCTGCTCTTCAGTAGCGCTCTGTGTATGTGTCTGTCTATTTACTGTTGTCTGTCCGCACAAGCATATATAAAAAACAATAATGAAAAAGTCTATGGTGAGCGAACGGCATTACAAATGCTGTGTTCCTCCCTGCCCACGATATCTGGCGGCGGGGGATACACACGATTTGTGTGTCGTTTGTTTGGGAGCGGAGCATGCACGGTCAGCTCTCGAGGGGGCTGAATGTCATGATTGTGAGCTTCTCCCGCTCCGTGTGCTCTGTTCCTGCCTGGCCATCTTCGATGAAAGCGACCAGGTTTGCGATCCTGCTGGGTCCGGCCCTGCTGCTGCCGGGGCACAGTGGCGGCTGTTATCGTGGGGATCGCAAGTGGATTTAGCAGAGGGATCCGAGACGGGCTCGTCCTTTTCTCGGTCCTCACCCGCTAGATCCGCGGCTCTCTCTCAGTGTTC